AAACATATAATTTAAAACTAATATGTAATGTAATGTAATGTAAACATACCTTCTTGCCATTAATGTAGAAGACAAGCTCACTGTTCACAGATAGAGATGACATGATGAGTTGAGAAGGATCGCAGTGTTCTGTTGCTGGAGATGCTCCTGGTTTACTGACCATCAGCTGAATGAGCAACTGACTGACTCACATCACATGTTACAGGCTTTGCCTTGCCTTTCATAGTTAAAAAACAAGAATGCGTAAAGAACACATACATGCAGTGGGTTCCTCTATTGTTAATATATACAGTATATATATATATATATATATATATACACATATATTGCTTTGGAGACTCCTTTCTTCATTCATTAATTTCACTTTGTGCTGTCAATGTCTGGGACTAAATTATTAGATTTAAAGTCAGTCTACAAAAAAGTTCACTTTTGTTAAATGTTTAATTAACTTTTTCTTCACACATTTCAGAAATTCAACACCATCAGAAAGACCATCACTTCATTACATTATTCACCTACAGACACATGAACTATATTACGTAGTCTGCATAAAACTCATCTTCAGCCGGTGAAAGCTTGCCAAGTGGGCATTGGTTAAGTGAGCTCTGAATAGTATTTTACACTGCATTAAACCATGCCTAGCACATAAAGAACAGGAGTGTACCTGGGTCAAGATGTTATGCCATAAATCCTCTGTTATAGTAACTCCTAGGTCGTGCTCCCAGTTTCTTTAAAGGGATAGTTCATCCAAAAATGAAAATTATGTAATTAATTACTCACCCTCATGTCGTTTCAAACCCGTAAGACCTTTGTTCATCTTCGGAACACAAATTAAGATATTTTTGATGGAATCTGAGAGCTCCCTGACCCTCTGTAGACAGCACACAACTGTAATGTTCCCCAGAAACATAGCAAGGACATCGGTAAAACAGTCCATGTGACATCAGTGGCTCAACTTCAGTTTTGCGAAGCTACGAGAATACTTTTTGTGCACAAAGAAAACAAAAATATCAACTTTATTCAAAAATTCTTCTCCCCCGAGTTACTGTCCTCCACCATTGTGGAGAGTATCACAACGCATACGCACGCTTTACCCTAAGCGTAAACACCGCTGATTATGCCGATTACGTTCATGTGCGCGCTGCTTACCCTCCTGAACGTAAACAACGCTGAATACGTTGATTACGTTCTGGAGTACTCTCCAAAATGGCGGAAGACGTAACTCGGGGGAGAAGAATTGTTAAATAAATTGTTATTTTTTATTTCTTTGCGCACAAAAAGTATTCTCGTAGCTTCGCAAAACTGAAGTTGAGCCACTGATGTCACATGGACTGTTTTACCGATGTCCTTGCTACGTTTCTGGACCTGTTGCTGTTTATGGAGGGTCAGAGAGCTCTCAGATTCCATCAAAAATATCTTAATTTGTGTTCCGAAGATGAACGTAGGTCTTACAGGTTTGGAACGACATGGGGGTGAGTAATTGATGACAGAATTTTCATTTTGGGGTGAACTAACCCTTTAAGAGTGTCAGTAGGGTACACATTAATTGAATTTATTAAATTATAAATGACTGAGATTAGATGCTTATGGTTGATATTCAAATCAAGAAAATGGTCAATGTGCGTTTCAGGAAGACGTTTAGGAAAGTGAGGGAACTGCTTCTGTATAAAGTGTTTGATTTGGAAGAACCAAAATAAGTGATGACTGGGTAAATTATACATTTTAGATAAGAAGGAGAAAGCCTTTTTTATTTTATTTTTTACAGGCAAATACAAGTTGATGTAGTATGTGTGAGTATGATGGGTATTTTAGTGTGTGTCATGCTCAGCCCACTCCGAGATTTACATTTTAAAAGTCATAATACATTTAAAAATGAAAATAAATATAAGTGATTTAGTGGAATCCAGTTGTACTTGTTATTTGTGACAAAAAATAAAATATGGGTGTTGACCAAGAGTAACAGATGATTTGCTCTGCCCTGGAGCTTAAATGTGTGTCTGCAATAAGCTTTGTTTTGTTATGACAATCAGCGCACACCGTTTCATGCTAACATATGTCATTGCTCCCCATCAATGTCAGAGGACAGAAGAAAGGCTAAGGAAACGTGTCTTCTGATAATTTATGAAATCAGACATTTCATTTTAAAGAGAAAAAACACATTTTACTGGATGTTAATTTTTTTATTATTAACTTGATTTTTCCTAGAAATTTAACACCAACAAAAGACAAAGACCATCACCTCATTCGATTCTTCATTTACGGGAATGTGAACTACATTAAATTATCTGACACACCACATACATATAAAACTCATCTTTAGCATCCATACAGCTTGTTGATCCTCAGGATGTCAGTGTTGGACATTCCCTGCCTCTGTCCGATTTCCACCGTCTCATCATGTTGAGTGAGACCACCTGTTTGCCACCAGTTCTACCAAGAGAAGAGAAGCACCTGAGGAGAGAGGAAATAAAGGGGTTAAATATTATCAATGTTTTGGACTAAGGCCAGTTAAATGTTTTTGGTTTCGTATGATTGTTCTCACCCATCTTTGTTCTCAATACTGATGTAGTCAGTCTGAGTTGATCTGGCCACGAAGCGGATGCAGGTTTTGGAGCGAAAGGTGGACATGGCGTTCGCAATCACTGATCTGTCATAATAGGCTGCAAACAAAAAGGCCGACAACTTTAAAATGAGATCTACATGAATGATAGAAATGTTCGATGAATGAAGGAGATTCACTCACAGAATTCACTGCTCACTGTGTAAGGGACCTCCACTATGTTGTCAGAGTTTTTCTTCCAGAAACAGTTGTTGTTTAAGCAGTAGAGAGCATTTCTGGTTTTGGGAAACACCAGATCTCCTTCAATCAAGACTTCAGAAGATCCTGTATTAAAGAGAACCACGTTGATGATATAACACAATATATTTATAAACTCTGAACACTTTTTAGAAATGTGACCCATTGATGGATTTACAGAAATCTACAAGGTGTCTGACCATTATTGGACTCCAAAATCCTTGTAGTGATGTCCACACTTTCCGGGTGAGACGCCAAACAGCAGCAGCAGAATGGAGAGGGAGGCTCTTGTGTCCATGTCGTCTCAGTGTGTAGAGATGTTCAGGATGCTCCTGTGCTGAGCTTTGGTGTCTCTGTGCTGTCAGACCTGGACTTTATATTCACCTGAGTAGGTGGGTCTACTGGGGGATTATGGGTAGGGTCTTAGTGTCCAGAGACTAATGTGTGTAACTAAAGGGAGGAAACTCTGACCTCACCTGTTAGTCCAATTCCTTGCAGAAACAGACAATACATTTAAGTTTACGCTATTTATTGGTTTTAACACTAAAGTAGACATGCTGTAGTTTTTGTTTACTTAGTGCCCCAGAACAGTAGCATACTAAAGCATTGAGAAACAAACCTGCTTCCATTTCAGCGGAACTGTATATTTTGTTATGTAGTCCGGTTACTTTAATCAGTTGCTGGGATGCTTCATAATAATCGGGCTAAATGTTTCTTTGTTCTTAACTGCAATTTAGTAAAAGGTCTCAGTACAACAACTGTTCAAAGTTGAGTTCAAAGGAAACCCATCATGACTCAACAATAAGGTTGCTTCACTGGCCTAAAGCTGCTATGAGAGAGTCGTAATTAATGATAAATAATGAAGAAGAAAAAAACATATAATTTAAATGTATTACTTCAGCTGACACAAATTAATATGAAACAAAAGCCTACATTATTGTAAGTAATTTTTGTTTTCATTCAAACTTTCTTTTCTTTTAGTTTGCTTATGACGAATAATGAAAATAAAAAGAGAATTCACTTTTTGTAACCTTACATTCTGCTGTTATCATCTGTATTTATGTTGTGAAAATACAGAACAACAAATGTAAGTATACAAATAGGGCTCTTAAAAGTTCCCAAATTTAAATGAATTGTAAGTGATACTACTAATATGTTTATAGTTATATAAACAGAATAGCTGGCCCAAAAATAAAAATACCATCATTTCTCCCCCTCATGTCTCTCTAAAACGTTATGACATTTTCATCCGTGAAACACAAGAATCAAGGGGTGGTGATTCTGACTGTCAAGCTCCAAAAAGCACATAACAGTAGTTGATTTGTGATTTGTGTGCATTATTCCAAGTCTTCTGAATTAATGTGATTGTGAAAAACAGACCGTAATTGAAGTTGTATTAACTAAAACAGTCATGTTCCGTTCGTATCTGGTGTTCATGACAAATCATTTGTTTTGTTTAAGTGTAGCAAAGTTAGTGCACTTTACAGCATATACAGTAAGGAGAAGAAAAACCTGCTCACAAACCGCATTGGTTCTTGCGTCTGGTCTACTGGGGGATTATGGGTAGGGTCTTAGTGTCTAGAGACTAATGTGTGTAACTACAGGGAGGAAACTCTGACCTCGCCTGTTACTACAAAAATGTACAGAATCAGAAATGGTTCTTACATTTGCTGAACTGATCCATCAAAATTAACATGGGTTTTAGGTGCAGGGACCAAATTATCAATGCGGTTAGGACCAAAGAAACATTTAGTCCATTTATTATAAAGCATATTATAAAGCATGCTTGAGAACTGGAAAGGCACTATATAAATAAAATGTATTATAACTTATTATTATTATCACAGCAACTGAGTAAAATAACTGGACTAGAGAACAAAATATACAGTTCCACTGAAATGGAGGCAGTTTTGTTTTATCGCACTAAAACACAAACATTACAACATTTCCACTTTAGTGTTACCAATAAATAAATTACTTGAACATTAGTGTAGTATTTGTTTCTGCAAGGATTTGGACTAACAGGTGAGGTCAGAGTTTCCTCCCTGTAGTTACACAGATTAGTCTCTGGACACTAAGACCTTACCCATAAGCCCCCAGTAGACCCACCTACTCAGGTGAATATAAAGTCCAGGTCTGACAGCACAAAGACACCAAAGCTCAGCACAGGAGCATCCTGAACATCTCTACACACTGAGACAACATGGACACAAGAGCCTCCCTCTCCATTCTGCTGCTGCTCTTTGGCGTCTCACAGGCGTCTCCTCTCATGGTAAGATCCGGTCTAGTGTCTCCCTTAAATTATCAATGTTCCTCAAATGAGTCGTTTTAAACATCTCTGTTTCTGCCACCAGGAGGAAAGGTTTGAAGGAGTGTTTGTGTCAGAGCCGGAAAGTGTGGACATCACTACAAGGATTTTGGAGTCCAACAATGGTCAGACACCTTGTAGATTTCTATAAAGCCATCAATGGGTTTCCCAAAATAGTGGTAAAATGTGGTCAAGATGTATAAATATGTTCTGTTATTTTATTAGTATGGTTCTCTTTAATACAGGATCTTCTGAAATCTTGATTGAAGGAGATCTGGTGTTTCCCAAAACCAGAAATGCTCTCTCCTGTTTAAACAACAACTGTTTCTGGAAGAAAAACTCTGACAACATAGTGGAGGTCCCTTACACAGTGAGCAGGGAATACTGTGAGTGAACCTCCTTCATTCATTGAGCATATCTATCATTCGTGTAGATCTAATTTTAAACCTGTGTGTCTTTTTATTTGCAGCTTCTTATGAGAAATCAGTGATTGCGAACGCCATGTCCACCTTTCGCTCCAAAACCTGCATCCGCTTCGTGGCCAGATCAACTCAGACTGACTACATCAGTATTGAGAACAAAGATGGGTGAGAACAATCATACAAAACCAAAAACATTTAACTGGCCTTAGTCCAAAACATTGATTATATTTAACCCCTTTATTTCCTCTCTCCTCTCAGGTGCTTCTCTTCTTATGGTAGAACTGGTGGCAAACAGGTGGTCTCCCTCAGAAGGAATGACTGTGTGTATCACGGCCTCGTTCAGCATGAGCTCCTTCATGCTCTGGGCTTCTACCACGAACAAACCAGGAGTGATCGCGACAAGTACGTCATGATCAACTGGGAGAACATCTCTCCTGATATGGCCCAGAACTTCCAGAAACAAAACACCAACAACCAAAACACTCCATACGACTACGGCTCCATCATGCACTATGGAAAAACTACCTTCTCCATCCAGCCTGGCCTGGAAACCATTACTCCCATTCCTGATGAGACGGTGGAAATCGGACAGAGCCAGGGAATGTCCAACACCGACATTCTGAGGGTTGAAATAACTATATATCTAGTGATAATAGGTGGTTTTTAAATTAGATTCGGACCGGTTAACTGTTAGGCCTCATATTAGCCGGTTAGCTTTAGCGCGAGACCGGCGCGTGAGTTGCAGTTCAGACCTATACAACTCATACTTTTATGCAACAATATATCTGTATACAATAATGAATTGATTTTATGTTAATGACATTAACTTGTGTAGTTTTTTTAGGAGGCAACGTGACTCGTGGTTACACTCTGGATTAATACAGGTTTAACTGGGTCTGTAATTAAACCAGTTTATTAAAGGTTTAAGTCGTTTATTAAGTTTTAAAGGTGTTATTTTGCACCTTTTCTATTAGGATCTTACTGATGGTTTTGTTGGGTTGGGAAATGTCATGGCACATCTGCCGTTTCTTTGTGCTCTTCAGTGAAATGAATCTGAACACCGATATGTTAAGTTATATTTTCTTTAATTGTGTTGTTTTAGGGTCAACAAGCTGTATGGATGCTGAAGATGAGGAATAATTAAATATGTATCATGTGTCTGTAGATGAGTAGTGATGATGGTTTACTTTCTGGTGGTGTTCAAGTTCTGAAATGTGTGATTGTGGTGGGAAAAAATAAAGTTAATCAAAGTGCATAACACTTTATATTGTTTGCAGTTTTTATTAATAAGGTAAAGGTGTTTATTTTGCAATAATACATGACCACGTATACATGACTAATTACCAAATAAATAAATGGACATGACATATTGATTTGATTCATTATGTCAGTGTAAAATCATGCCTGAATTAAAGTATAAAAATCATGTTTGACACAAACTCTAAAATGTAAAGTACAAATAATAATAATAATTACAAAAATATGCAAACGAAATGTTTTCGTGTTGACCCCATTTAACTAAATGCTTTTTTATGGTTCGACCTTGGCGATAAAGAAATCACACCCCTCATCACAATGGTATGACCAGCATCGGACTTACGAATCACTGTTAGCACAGAGGGGTGATCTTTTTATGAACTTCCACGTAAGCAGTAACACGAGCAAATATTTGGCTCTACGAACATTTTGTGACATTTTACCGTGTGAAGTTGTCAAAACAATACTTTTAAATGTATATTTTGCGTGACCATACCAACACAGCACCCCTCTAACCCCCGCGCTCCCCTGTAATGGACCGATCCATTGTCTTTTCAGTTGTTCTTCCGCGCATGCGCAGCAGCCTCTTGCCATCCGGGAGGGTTTTTGTGTCGCTTTCGGACCTGCCATTGTCTTGCTTTGTTCTTGGGTTCAAAAAGCCGTTTTTTATCTGCATTCATTTCGGTAAGTCCTTCATTTGTTTTATATACCTATAATGAGCGTATGCAGCTTAATCTTGAGTTGTTGCAAACCCGTGTTTTAAAAGGATGGCCGTTTTTAGGCTCACGTTTGTGATCAGCTGTGTAAGTTAAATCATGATGGCGGAGCTCGCGACATGATGGCTATTAAATAAAAACAATATAATGTTTTGTCCTTTCTGTTTTTTTATTTGATGTCTGTTAATTATTATTTCGTTCGAATTTGAAATAACTATATATCTAGTGATAATAGGTGGTTTTTAAATTAGATTCGGACCGGTTAACTGTTAGGCCTCATATTAGCCGGTTAGCTTTAGCGCGAGACCGGCGCGTGAGTTGCAGTTCAGACCTATACAACTCATACTTTTATGCAACAATATATCTGTATACAATAATGAATTGATTTTATGTTAATGACATTAACTTGTGTAGTTTTTTTAGGAGGCAACGTGACTCGTGGTTACACTCTGGATTAATACAGGTTTAACTGGGTCTGTAATTAAACCAGTTTATTAAAGGTTTAAGTCGTTTATTAAGTTTTAAAGGTGTTATTTTGCACCTTTTCTATTAGGATCTTACTGATGGTTTTGTTGGGTTGGGAAATGTCATGGCACATCTGCCGTTTCTTTGTGCTCTTCAGTGAAATGAATCTGAACACCGATATGTTAAGTTATATTTTCTTTAATTGTGTTGTTTTAGGTGTCTTTTATGAATAATCAAAAGCAGCAAAAGCCAACGCTTACCGGCCAGCGTTTTAAAACTCGGAAAAGAGGTAAGTAGTCTAAGGAACATTTAATAACTGTTTTAAAGTGGTGCCTCCCATTTGAAACTTTCTCTTGTTTCCTCGCAGATGAAAAGGAGAGATTTGACCCTACTCAGTTTCAAGAAAGTATTGTTCAAGGCTTGAACCAAACTGGCACAGATTTGGAAGCGGTTGCAAAGTTCCTCGATGCCTCTGGCGCCAAGCTTGACTACCGCCGGTATGCTGAGACACTCTTCGACATCCTGGTGGCTGGAGGAATGCTGGGTAAGCAACCGTCTGTGGCTCTGGTAATGGGCTGGTATTTAGTCTTTTTATTTATTTATTTTTTTTACTAAATATTTTTGCTGATTATTTATATGAATGTATATATTTAAAATTTAAATTTTATTAATTTTACTAAATGTTTAGAAAAGTATATCTAAAAGTCTTTTTTTTTTTTTTGAAAATATTTTCACTAATATTTATATGTAAATGTGTATCTACAATCTGTATTTTAATTTAATTTTACTAAATATTTTCACAGATTTTTTTAGATGTACTCTATATTTAAATTAGTTTGTTTTTACAAATTATGTTCTACTCATTTATGGGAGTAAAATATTGACATTTATATATTTTAATAACTTTTACTAAATACTTTTTACTAATTTAAATGGTGTACATGTAATTTTTTTCTTAATTTTTTCAACTAATATAATTTGTCAATATATCTACAATTGTTTTCCAATATTTATACAGTGTACATCTAAAATATTGTTTTGCGAAATATTTGTACTAATATCATATCTACAATTTATAGAATTCTTTACTTTAAGTATTTTTACTAATGTAATTATAACAAGTACATTTAAAAAAAGTTTTTACGAAATATTTTTTAATCACAATTTATACATTTACTTTTACTAAATATTTTTACTAATATATTTATATATAAAGTGTACATCTACATTTTTTTTTTTTTACTAACTATTTTCTGCTAATCTATTTATAAATAAAATGTCTACAATTTGTTTTTGCTAAATATTTCTTATTTTACTAGTATTTTTATAATATTGCAGGACTCACTTGACATTGAAACGTGCTTTTGGTCTGTCCAATATTTAATGTCATGAGACAAAGGTTATTATCAGGACAAACATTTAAGGACTTGTTTTATAAGATGGACCCAGAAAAACTTTTGCAATTTCTTTCAAAGGTAAATTTAAAGTATCTTTTATAGAAATGTATGTGCAATACTTTTATTTATTTATATATGTATATATATATTTGTATTTATTTATTGTATTTTGTATTGTTTTCTACTATATTTCTAATGTATAATCTTTGCCATGAAATAGCCTGTGAAGCTGATATGGCAATAAACTTAAATTAGACTGAAGAGTATTTTTATATAAGGTATATATATGTATATACAGGTGCATCTCAATGAATTAGAATGTCGTGGAAAAGTTAATTTATTTCAGTAATTCAACTCAAATTGTGAAACTCGTGTATTAAATTCAATGCTCACAGACTGACGTAGTTTAAGTCTTTGGTTCTTTTAATTGTGAATTTGAATTGTTGGCCTTCTGGAAAGTATGTTCATTTACTGTACATGTACTCAATACTTGGTAGGGGCTCCTTTTGCTTTAATTACTGCCTCAATTCGGCGTGGCATGGAGGTGATCAGTTTGTGGCACTGCTGAGGTGGTATGGAAGCCCAGGTTTCTTTGACAGTGGCCTTTAGCTCGTCTGCATTTTTTTGGTCTCTTGTTGCTCATTTTCCTCTTGACAATACCCCATAGATTCTCTATGGGGATCAGGTCTGGTGAGTTTGCTGACCAGTCAAGCACACCAACACCACGGTCATTTAACTAACTTTTGGTGCTTTTGGCAGTGTGACCTCTTCACGGCAAGTGAAGACCTGGAGACCATGCAGGCTTACGCTCAGGTATTTACAATTATATGCTACCTGACCAGGAAATTGTTTCCAGGAGAAATTGTTGTTTTGGAGCTTGTTCTGAATTAATATCGCTGTGACGGGTGTAATTTGTTTTTACCGGCTTCCTCCTTGCATGTCTCAACATGTTCACCTTGTGTTGTAGGTTTTTAACAAGCTGATCAGGCGTTACAAGTACCTGGAGAAAGGGTTTGAAGAGGAGATTAAGAAGGTAAGCAAAGTTGTTGAACTAAGGATAACACCATATTTGTTAGTCAAACAAAGTGTGTCATTGTGCATCTGGAAAGTATCGTGGTTTTTTTTTTTTTTCACAGCTGCTGCTGTTTCTAAAAGGGTTCACAGAGTCAGAGAGGAATAAATTGGCCATGCTTACCGGAATCCTGCTGGCCAATGGCAATATATCAGCCTCCATCCTGAACAGCCTCTTTAATGAGAACTTGGTCAAGGAAGGTAATGACAGACCTGTTAATGGCGCTAGACTAGCAGTGGCGCTTTGAGTGAAGAATTTGTAACCAAGTTGTCATCTGGGTTTTATTGCAGGTGTCTCTGCTGCCTTCGCTGTGAAACTGTTCAAATCTTGGATCAACGAAAAAGACATCAACTCGGTTGCTGCTAGCCTGCGTAAAGTTGGCATGGACAACAGACTGATGGTATATATTGTACTGCAGCCTCAACTTGGGATGCAACACACAAAATCCCAAAAACGTCCAAAATATAGCTTAGTTGGCGTAATATATAAGTTATGTAAAAATCTATGAATAAAACGGTAAAGGTTTAGTGTGTGAATAATACTTTGGTTATATGTAATTAAAACTGTAAAATAACTAAACATGATCTATGAATGTTTTGGTAAATAATCTGTAAACAGTTTAATAACATTGTTATTTGGCAATAATTCATAAAAAAATATGAATACAAATAAATAAACTAAAATTAAGTTGAAATACTAAAATTACTAAAACTAAACCTGAAATTTAAAAACAAAAATAAAAGCCATATAAGAATACAACAGCTTCACAACAACTTCACATCAATTGACAAAAGCACACATTACTTGAGTAAACTAAAATTAACAAAATCTGAAATTTTACTATTTTGTTTGCAGCCTCAGAAGATGTTGAACTTTTCTTATGCCACATTAATCTCATGCCAAATTATTATTTTTTTTCTTGCTGATGTTGATGTAACCTCTTTTGCGCAAAACAGGAGCTGTTCCCTGCCAACAAGCGTAGCTGTGAACACTTTTCAAAATATTTCACCGACGCTGGACTGAAGGAGCTCTCGGACTTCGCTCGCAACCAGCAGTCCATTGGAGCACGCAAAGAGCTTCAGAAAGAACTGCAAGAGCAGATGTTGCGCGGCGAGACCCTCAAAGACGTGAGTCTCTGCCTTGTCCGTCTCGGGCCATTTAAATTTTTTTTTTTAAAGCACTTTTTAAATTATATAGTTAAGTACATTTTCTAAGTGTTATTTAAAAATAAGAATATTTTGAATCATTATCCATAGTTTGGCTTTGAAGGTTTACTGTGCCTGTATTTGGTTAATTTTTGTCTTGCTTGCTCCCCAGATCATTGCCTACGTTCGTGAAGAGATGAAGAAAACGAGCATCTCTGAGCAGACAATGATCGGCATCGTGTGGACCAGTGTCATGAGCTCCGTCGAGTGGAATAAAAAGGAGGAGCTCGTCACAGAGCAAGCCATCAAACTCTTGAAGGTATCTATGATGCTTCTGGAAGATTTAATGATCTGCAATACTTCCTTTAATCAAATTACCGGTAGTAATCTGTTCTGCTAACTCTTTGCAGCAATACAGCCCACTGCTGAAGGCCTTCACCTCCCAGGGCCTGTCTGAGCTCACCCTCCTGCTGAAGATCCAGGAGTACTGCTACGACAATATCCACTTCATGAAGGCCTTCCAAAAGATCGTGGTGCTTCTTTACAAAGGTGTGTCTTCAATAGCTGATCTTTTCAAAACTATGCACTTAAGCCCAAGGCTTGACACACTGTGGTATGTTTTGTACAAAAAATGTTACCTAGCCCGTGCAGCACTGTGCATAGGTTATGGCTGGTTAAAGTGTTTTGAAGAGGTGTTTTTTCTTTTTTTTTCTTGCCTCTAGCTGATGTTTTGAGCGAGGAGGTTATTTTGAAGTGGTACACAGAATCCCACGTGGCCAAAGGAAAGAGCGTCTTCCTCGAGCAGATGAAGAAGTTTGTAGAATGGCTGAAGAATGCCGAAGAGGGTAAGCAGGTTTTTTTGTTTTTCTCTGAAACTTTCAGATTAAAATAGTTCATCTAATGATATTATTTGTTGTTTCTTTCAGAGTCCGAATCCGAGGAAGAGGAGGGAGACTAAAACACCATGTCAGCAGAATGTTTTGTTACAGAAGTGCTTGTCTTTCTAAAAAAAAAATTCTTTTTTTTTTTTTTTTTGATTCTACCTCCTGTTTTTCAAACCATAACCATTTAGATGTCATTTAAGGGCTTTATAACAAATGATTCGTTTTAACAGATTTTTCTAATATTAAGGTTTACACTTAAAATAGCACAAACGTTGTGGTCAACCTTTGTAATTATTTACTCGCTCAAGGAACTTTTAAGTGTTGACACAGTTTGGACATCTTAAATTATTGTTATAGTGATTCCTTTATGAATTGACATTCCATTGAATTAGATCAGGCTGCCTTGTTTGCTTTTAAGACACCCTTTTCTATATGGTATTGATGCCTTCATGCCCTGTCATGATCAGTGTCCACAAAGGGGAAAAAATGGTCACCTTGTCTCATCGTGATGTTATTGCCAAAGGGTTAAGTCCTTCTCCCATAACATCCATCAGTGTTCTGTTCCCTGCCTATGAAACTGTACAGTGCTGAAAACAAATTGCAGATCACCCTGTAAAGACCCTTAAATGACTCCCAACCTCTTCTATGTATCTTCATCCTATTTGTCACCGATTTCTTTAATCTGAATAACTAATTGACTTTTTTAAAGAAATAAAGACCTAGAAGCATATGCATTGTGATTCTTGCCTTGTTTTCTGTTTAGCATGCTGGTTTGAGTAATTGCATAATCAGATTTCAGTCCACCATTTTAAAATTGCATGCAGTATGTCTTCCTCTAGGGGGCACCTCAAAACCAAAGATGGAGCTCATTCAGAACATTTTCCAAAAATAATTTTATGGTTTGAAAAAGTAACGAGTACAGATGTTTTTCTTGTACAAAAATACTTGCTCATTAAATAGCAGCTCATTTGATGCTTGGCATGTGCAAAGGACCACTTTTAGAAGAGCGGACAGTTCAAGTATTAGAATACGACAGGCTAGTGTTTAAAGGGTTACTCCACCCCAAAATGAAAATTGTCAATCACTTACCCCCATGTCGTTCCAAACCCGTAAAAGCGTCGTTCGTTTTTGGAACCCAATTTAAGATATTTTGGATGAAACCGGGAGGCTTGTAAATTACACTGTCAAGGTCCAGAAAAGTATGAAAGACATCGTCAGAATAGTCCATCTGCCATCAGTGGTTCAACCGTAACGTTATGAAGCGATGAGAACACTTTTTGTACGCAAAGAAAACAAAAATAACGACTTCAACAATTTATCTCTGCATCACCGTAGCGCCATTTTTGAGAATATGCGCTGAACGCAAGCAGCGTACACTCTTCTGTGTCAGCCGCGCTGCACGGATGCGCTGTTTTCGTTCAAATCAGAGTGTAAATACACGTAGAAAACGTATCCTTGTGTCTCGGCTGACACAGAAGAGCGTACGCTGCTTGCGTTCAGCGCATATACTCCAAAATGGCGCTACGGTGATGCGGAGAGACACAGAGGAGACAAATTGTTGAATAAAGTCATTATTTTTGTTTCTTTGCGAACAAAAAGTATTCTCGTCGCTTCATAACATTACGGTTATACCACTGATGGCAGATGGACTATTCTGACGATGTCTTTCATACTTTTCTGGACCTTGACAGTGTAATTTACTTGGCAGTGAATGGGACAGTCACAAGCCTCCCGGATTTCATCCAAAATATCTTAAATTGTGTTCCGAAGACGAACAAAGCTTTTAGGGGTTTGGAACGACATGGGGGTAAGTGATTAATGACAAAATTTTCATTTTGGGGTGGAGTATCCCTTTAAGATGTTTTGAAGGTAGGCCATATTGTTGGTATAATGCATTTTGACTTTTAAATTTAAAGGTTAAAAAAAGTGCAAAAATGTACAAAAGCCTTGCCGGAATACAATATTGCCAGTTCATTATATGGTAGTTCCATTTTTTTACATCTGTATTGATAAAACGTGTTTTCATTGCAAGGAAGAGTCATTCTGCACAGTCTGCAAATTCAGACAAACCTACAAGCTGAAGTTTTGATTTGTGCAAGACACGCAGGTAAACATTTAGGATAGAAACGACTGGTTGGTCGACATCGACATCTTGATGCTTTCACAGAAATAATGCTACCTTTAAGCGTTCACGTCAAAGATGAGGTATCTGAAAATAAATTGTAATCAGTAAATGTTAGGCTCAAAATTGTCATTCCTATTAATGTAAACAATATAACAAAAGGTTCAGCAGTTGATGTTTCAGTGGTGTACTTGAGCTTAGCGCACGCTACAAGACAGAAGCTTGCTGATATTTCCCCTTGACCTTTGTCAACTTAAAACGTGCCAACTTGTGGGACACATTCTGGAACACTTTCTGAAACCAAATTGGCCTTTAAGTCATGCGCACTTTAAAATGCAAGAGAGCTGCAATTAGCAATAGCCAGTGAAATTCCCAGATGAAACTTCCAGCTACTAATTTCTCAGAAGACCACTGTCTTGTACATATTTTTGCTTCCATTTGGTGCAAATCAGTGGACAAAAAAAAAACATATATCACGAATCAATATAGTATATATATTGTATGTCAATATAATATAAGAGATACAATTGCATACTGTAGAGTTGTGGAAAATGATTGCATAATTGATGCATCAAGTCTGCACTCTAACATTGACGACAGCAAGTCTTGAAATGCATGCAATGCAACAAGCTTCTGCCTTGACGTAGGCGCTCGTGAGTTGCACTTATGCTCAAATGGCCTTCCTTCATGCAATTTCAGTGAAATATACAATTTGGCATTTTATGATTAAGAAGCAAAAGCATGCCCTTTGTTGTTACGGTGTGACCTCAATGTACCTTTTTTCCTGAGCCTGCACTGGTGAGCACTACTACTCAACAGTCTACACAACATTATCTCACCAAAGCGTGGACTCAAAGAAAGACCAAAAGGATTTAGGGTAGCATTTGAGACAAGGCTACAGAACAATTGGGGTCAGGGTCATAACCCAGGGCTCGTGTTAGGGATCATGTACCTTGACCAACACCAGCTCCCGAGACATGAAAGATTATGCTCTCATTATGAAATACTTCCACCTATAGCATTCAGTCATGTGCCACTTGAACTTTCTAATAAATATTTAGCATGCTTTGCCCAACCCAAATTATCGTGCTTAGGTTAGAATCTTGTTTACAGTCTCCTGAGAGCCATGTTGGGATTGTGGTCCTGGCATAGATGTGGAGACAAGAGGGAGGGGATGAGATTTTTACCCACCGTTGTACTGACAGCGACCACTGCAAACCGCAAAGTTTCAATTGCCATCATGTGACGTGCAGGAGGCAGACGCAAGACTGTTTTTTAAGGCGAGGGATGGTGTAGCTTACTATATCTGATACTGAAATAGCCTCCCACCAGGTGCAACTTTACACATATTCTCCGGTTACATTAACCAAAACACAGTTGATAAGGTGGACACACATGCAGAAAAAGTGCAGATTCGTCTCTTTTCATGTTGCTCGTTTTGTCTGTCCTCAGAGATTAAACAATAATAAAAAAAAAAATGTTTTGTCTCTTTGCAAGGCAATGTCTCTTTACATGTAAACATTCAGAAGTTGAGAGCTCGTATGTAGCAGCGGTCAGTTGGGAGAACATCTGCTGTCACGCAGTTGTGTGCTTTTCCCCGTCTCTAAGCTGCAGAAGTACATGATAATTGAAAGGTGTTAGAATTCACACCCACACAACAATCTGTTTACAATTCTATGCTAAATACGTAGGAATGCATTATTGCAGTTGAACACTTAAGAGGACAATTCAGGAAAAGGTAGTTGCAAGGCACTTCTGGCAAGTAATATGAAGTTTTGGCATGCAAATACATTACCAAATATGTCACAATTTCTGGCAATCCAACCTTCACAGAATCAACAGGTGGCAGTTGATAGTTGACCACCTTCAAGGACTCACCATTTTCCTTTGGTTACTCAAGCAGAAGGTACAGATGGGTCGGACTGGTGGAGTTTTGAGGTTGGTGTTGCTTTGTAAGATGTTGTGATATTTCAGACACGGTTGCCCATCCCTGCAGTCCTCCCCTAGCAGAAGTACATTGGCCAAGTGTGAAATGTAGCTTGATGCCAATCGCAGGGTCTCAATTTTTGACAACTTCCTGTCGGCCGGCTCCGTGGGGATGAGGGTACGCAGAGCCGTGAAGGCAGTGTTGACGCTGTGTGTGCGGTCTCGCTCCCGAGCGTTAGCTGCCTGACGTTGTTTGCTCACCCCTGCAAGTCTACGACCCCCTCTGCGTCTCCCCGCCTCCCTGTGGACCTGCATGGGGCTCCCCGCTCCGGTGGATTTCTCCGAACTTTCGCTGCCACTGTCGAGCTCATCAGGGTCGGAAGGCAAGCTCAGGGTATCGTGTGCAGGATGCTCGTGTTCCTCTGTGGTGGACTTCATGGCGTGCAGAGACAGACTGGTTGTTGTCGGTAGTCCATGGTGTAGATGCTGGCTGCCCATGGTGCTTTAAGCTGAGTGAAAATAGCAGCCGGGGGGCAGCTGCGTCTGATCCGGTATCCAGAGATCTTCCGTGGCCCCGTGGCACTTCAGCATGCCATTTCTTGAATGACTGTTCCCTTTCTGGATTTGTCCGCCACCCGGTGGAAAAGGATGGACGGGTGGGGCTGTGGGGGGCCACCTGTCATGCCCCCAAAGAAGGAGGACGTTTGAAGATATATAAATAAGTGCACGCACCAACACACGTATAGGGATTTTGGTGGTTTTTTTTCACCTTTGGCCTGAAATATTTGGGTTCCGTGGCCCCGTGGCACTTCAGCATGCCATTTCTTGAATGACTGTTCCCTTTCTGGATTTGTCCGCCACCATGTGGCTGTGGAAAAGGATGGACAGGTGGAACTGTGGGGGGCCACCTGTCATGCCCCAAAGAAGGAGGACGTTTGAAGATATATAAATAAGTGCACGCACCAACACACGTATAGGGATTTTGGTGTTTTTTTTTCACCTTTGGCCTGAAATATTTGGATACCGGGTCCTGTGGGTGACCTTGTGCAGGTCAACAGGAAGCCAGAACGGTGATCTGATCTACCTTCTCTGAGAAGACCCACCTCTGTTTTTGTCCCTTCATTCTGGTCCATTCATCCCTCGTCCCCTGATATTGTTTGCATAAATTTCTTTGTATGTTATATAATTTGTATGCAATAGCTAAGCAACCTTGTTCCGTTTGACCCAGCGCTAAATTTAGCTCAGAAAATTTTACAGACAGAGACTGTTGTCGTTGCCTGTAAAATTTGTATCACATGGGCTGTGGGTCACTCCAGGTCCAACAGTTGTGATTTTACTACACACAGGGGGCAGTGTTTCAAATCTGACAGAATGTAATTCAGAACACCTGTTTGACATGCTAGCAATGGGAATAACTGTGAAGAGAGTTCTTGGAAAAGGTTTTACTCAAATCAAGGTGTCAAAATCAATTTGTTCTAGGTAACAGCAATCATTTGCTTGTAACTCAACATTAGTGTTCTGATGTTTTCTAAAAAGAAAGCTACTTTGCCAGAAGTTTTAACATCCACACCAACACCACAAGAACCATGTAAGTGATATTCAAACCAGTGAAAGTCTTTTCTCTAGTAACTTAAGTTAATGTTAGCATTTAGCTCACAATAGCAGCACTGTATAAGAGTGCTCTCTTGTAAGTCAACCTGTTTCTCTCTAATGCACTGTCTGACTGAACAGCCCAGGTGTGTTCTTGTTTGTCACATTCACATACTGTGGTCCATCTTTAGAGACAGTAAAAATATAGTGTTCACCATACCTGTATTACATTGCTGCTTTGTTTGTATGGTAGTTTAGGCAGTGGTTTTGAACTTTTTGGTTTATTTATTAAGTTTAGTTACACTCTGTTGTGAAAAAAAAATAAAAAAATTGCTTGATGAATTTTATCTTTAGTCAGATTCTATGATTTACTTAGACTCGGCTCATATTTTTAAGTATTCACCACTAGATGTCAGTAGCACACCACTGGATATTGTTGCTCCAGCTTTTTAAGGCAAGAAGCACAAGTAAAGTCTAAGAATTGACAAGAATATAAGTGAACTAATTAGGCATGAAAACAAAAATAGGTTTCAATGCACCGTTGCCATATTAGAGGTTCCAGTATGGAAATTATTTAATTAACAATCAAATCTTGATGTATGGAACATGTCAGTGCTTTATTTAAACCTAAATTGCTATTGACTTCCTTTCAGCCATTTGGTAAGTTTGTCCAAATTAATGATTCTTAAAAATTCACATGACAGCTCTTCACTAATTTGTTTAACCCTTTAGCTCTCAATAAATTACTGGCATTCCCGAAGTTCATGCGTGGATGTTAGCACATGTGCTGCATCCACAATGAGCTGCCGGTGGCCCAAACATACGCTCCAACGGGTTTGTTGTTTATCCTGACAGCATTGCCTCTAATCTTTAAGAGTGCCTGCTGGGATGCAAAACAAAGATACGTCATTATAATCCTCCGAGAGTTTGCTTGGCACTTAAATTTGCAGGTGCATCTCCTGGTAAGTTGCTGGCTTATAGCAATGGTTTCCTGGATACCTGCCTTTGTGGAAGCAAGCGGAGCATGAAACAGTTCATATTTTCATTGAAAGGTTTTGCAGCTCCAAGTTTACATAGACAATATGACAGGTTACAATCCAGTTCCAGTTGAACGAAGTTGAGTGTCAATTAGCATTTTAAAGGCCTAATTTCCTGTGGAGCAAGATTATAAAGCTCTGTGCACACCTTTTAAGCACCTGTTTTAAAACACTGTTGAAAAGAGTATGATTAGATTCCCAAATTAGAACGCTTTCAAAGCCCCAACGAAAACTGTACAGTCTCTGGCAGTTTTCTCTCTCAGGTTTTGGACTGCTCTTAAATACAGGTTGCCATACAAAGGACACCCCGTCCACCTACACATAGATTCGCACACTTTAAAAGTAACTAATCTATTTTGAAACCATGCCATAAAACATAATCCAAGTGCTAAGGGCAATTGCAAATCATGTCTGTGAGATGCTGCATTGTCTATTGCACAAAGAGACCATTAGCATCTTGTTATGCAGTATATTTTTATGTCCTCATCATACATTGTCTTAATCTATTACATTTAATATTAAATTCAACAAAGGGGGTGAATTTTAAAGATGTAAATACTCTGGTTTGAATGTATGTTGCCATTTTTACTAGCTGGGCTAAGTAATTGTGCTACGCTAACTTCTAAAAGCTTCTAAAACCCAACAACCTTCTCCAACATGTTAGCCTTTTGTACATTGGTGGACGAAGTACTCAAATCAAGTAGGCTACTTGAGAAAAAGTACAGATACGTATGATAAAGTATTACTTCAGTAAAAGTATGAACACTCCTTTTCTATTTTACCTGAGTGAAAGTACAAAAGTAGTTTTTTATTTAAGTAAAAAGTACTGATTGATGAATGTTTATTTTGTAATTTTATACAGGCTACTTGTATAATTAAATTTTTATATTATATATTTTATATAATCCTACTGATCCAAATACCTGGGTTTTTATCAAAATAACCACTATATGGAGTTAAAGGTCCCCTGAAATGCTTAGAAACACTCGGCATTACTCTGTGTTGACGTCATTTTAACTGAAACAGGAAGACAGGGCGGGACATATCAAGCAGCCCCGCCCCTTTTTAAAATAGCCAATAGCGTTCGTTTATATCACAGCTTGGGCTAGAGCCGTTCAGAGCCATTGAGCTCCGTAAAGCCGCATTTGACAGGGTATGCCAGCCACAATCTCATCCATATTGCTATAAAATATAGCATTCTGTGTAGAATTCAAATAGCTCCGATACATTTTGTGGTCTGCGCCGACTCGCGCATGTGATCCGCTCCGTGCTATCGTGTCTCTGGACCGGAGCAGAGTGTGTGTGCGGTGCGGTGGTTAGCGTGACACAGCGCAAAACCAGACTTCTTTTTTTCCTCAATCGAAAGCATATTTAAACTGTTTGAATCGTTCCCTGTCCCCTATATAGTGCACTACGTGCCATTCACTGTACAGAAAATACTAATTCTGTGGACAAGTGACCGATTTCAGCCGCGGCTTCAGCGTCTATTTTATAGTGTAGGGGGTGGGCGCTTCGGATTCTAGAGAGCATTTGATTGGACAGAAAGTTTGATGAGAAGCGGAAATACGATGTGACGTCAAAAAAATTGCTTATATCTTCTAAACGCAAATTTTGTCACTGTTTTGGAGCACACTGCCTTATAGATAACCTTAAGACTAACATATTGATACTAACACCCACAAAACTTTAATTTTGATTTCATGGGGACTTTAAGATACATTTTGTTGTTTCTATGGACTACGTTGACGAGTGATCTAGAAGTATTCACAGGTTCATTGAAAATAATAAATTCATTCATGAATCAGATGCCACTTTTGCATCTCTGAGCACGTGATGATTTCTTCATTTCAAAATAAGGAGTAATGATAGGTTTTATGAAATGTATTTGGAATGTAGTAAAGTAAAAGTTACTCAAAATAAAACTCCAGTAAAGTACAGATCCTTGTTACTGTCCACCACTGCTTTTGTATAATCACTAACACCCACAAAACTTTAATTTTGATTTCATGGGGACTTTAAGATACATTTTGTTGTTTCTATGGACTACGTTGACGAGTGATCTAGAAGTATTCACAGGTTCATTGAAAATAATCAATTCATTCATGAATCAGATGCCACTTTTGCATCTCGGAGCACGTGATGATTTCTTCATTTCAAAATAAGGAGTAATGATATGTTTTATGAAATGTATTTGGAATGTAGTAAAGTAAAAGTTACTCAAAATAAAACTCCAGTAAAGTGCAGATCCTTGTTACTGTCCACCACTGCTTTTGTATAATCCATTAAAGTAAAAAAAAAAAACAGGTCCTTAAAATAGTAATGGAAGTAATGACAGATTGTGATGTAGATCTGAAAATGGATTGTGAAAAAAAAAAAAAGTAGTGCAGGAATTTGTTTTATCCATCAGTTTTTGATTGGAGGGAGGTATTTGCCTAAATGCAAGAATGAAGTCAGTTATAAAAATAATTTAAGCCGACTAAATAATTGGAGATGTCTAGCATAAGTTACCAGAGAAAAGTCTGCCATTTCAGCAGAATATTGAGCCATTTTGATGAAAAATGACGATCTCAAAATAAAATAAATTAAACTCATACATAGATGAATCATTAAAGAAGGATTTAATCAATTCTGTGATGTTTTGTGGTTGTTGTAATTTTGTTTGTCACTCAAAGTATAGAGATCAAAAGCAACTGCATAACAGGAACAACCCATTAAATGGAACACAATACTGGAATGGAAGAGGCAGAGTAGGAGACCATATAATAAGGTAAAAATAAAAAAGTATGACATTCCAGCCCAGATGAGAGACACACTTCATGCTTTCATTTCTCCTGCTCGGCTGGAGAACCTTATGAGGGTCTCTCTAGTGCCCTTGCTGACCATTAAAAGCAACTAATTGGAGCCCAGAGACCGAGAGCTCCGAGGGCTACAGAAACCTCTCAAAGAAAAGAGTTCCCAGAGAAGATCTCTACAAG